CGGGTGGTAAATACTGCTTGATTTTTTTAAGTACAAAGCTGCACAATGGACTATCTGTGCTGTGCGCACCCCAGGGATCCAAACACAAATTTTACATTTATAAGCTCTGAAGCTTACTTCTGAGCCACCGATATACAATTACTTTTCGTCGTATATATCAATTATATATCAAATCCGAATAATAAGACTGCGAATTAAAAAGGAAATTTCCCAGTAATGGTTACACTTTAGCTTGAGTAAACACATTCATTTTAAATACAAAAAATAATAATAATGTAAAAAATTATATGTTGCAAAGGAAACGAAGCATATAACGACTGAAACTTTCATTTCAACTAATCTTATGGCACTTGTTAAATAACACCGCGTTCCAGATATATATAAAATAAACACTGGTGATTCTTCATTTTTTCTAACAAGTTCATCCGCCATTGCTTTCTTTGTTCATATTCTCGCGCAAAGCTAATATAAAGGGCTATTTGCGCTTGCCGTCCCCATTTTTCAATGATAGGCTAGAGGAAAGATAAATAGTCAAAAGCGTCCACTACAACTCATGAATACCACTGTTTGACCAAATAGTGGGTTTTGAGAGTCACCCTTATAACGCATGCACAGCACTAGAAAGCTTTTTTTTTGTGGTAGCGTGACGCGAACGCTGGACACGCAGATTCTTAGTTTGGCATTCCAACCACTGCACAATATTCAGCTAATTCGCAGTTTCTTAGGTTGGTATTAACTGTACATAAAAGGATGTGTCTGTGTACATATTATCTAACACTTACGAATAAATCCTTAACACTTATCTATAAATATAAAGACAAAATGTGTGATCGTTTGCACCCTAACTCCCCCGAGCCTATTGGGGCAATCTCAACCAAAATTTGTATGTAAACACTATGAATTATGGGGAATTTCCTAGGGGGTCAAAGCGAACTTAACCCTATTTCTATTTTGTAAAGTCTGTTGGTTAATTTCTCCCAGCTTATTAAGTCAATCTCAAACAATCTTGGCAGGTTGACGCTTTAGACAATGTACAATATTCTAAAGTGATTCAAGGTCAAAGAATGAAAGTTGCTGGACTGTTTCTCAAACAACCATGCTTTTCTCATGGTCAATGAGATGTAGGGTGTTCAAAGGTGGGATCAGCCCAAAATCTTTGTTTGTTGGTAGGTGGAAAGCAAACTGCAAATGTTGTTCATGAAGAAACTTTGTTATAATTGTACAATTTTGAGATAAAGTTCACGTTCAAATTATTACAATGAAATATACGATTGCTGTCAAACTTACATTGTTTTAATTACGTTTAAATATCACGTTATATGACGCTGTAAATCATGTTATCATTCACACAAAGAAATATATATCGAGAACCTGAAAAGCCGTAAAGTTTCAGATCCGTATCTTTTGCAGGCCTAACATGGCTCGACTCACAATCTGCTAGCACTTAACAACAACAAAATTTTTACTGGAGAAAACTCAAGTGATTCAGACTAATTTGATTGTGCTGATTACAAAAATGGATCACAATTTGTCCATCACCTCTAGATTTTGAGTTATTGTAACATCTCAATATTTTATCAGCACTATCTGAAATAACATGCAATCTACTCAGTACAATACATTTATGCTGTGAAATTAAGTTTATTTGGACAGTTAAATGGGTAAAAGGCATACATTTTTGATAACTACGAAAATTGGCTATACTGTATTGGTGTAAAATTTCAGATATATTGTTCACATATGCTATTTGTTCTCGATATAATTGTAGCAAATTGCATCACTTTTGTTTCATTCCCACGCTCAACTGCTTCGCCCGGGAATCACGAAACCCTCACGTACTCAGTTTGCTAGAACGTTCGAGAAGTCTCTCGACTGAGCATAAAAGGGGCGGAGTCAAACGCCTCTCTCTCTCTCACCCAGTTGGTCACTTCGCCTCGCTCCGCGCACAGTCAAAACAAAGTCCAATCTTCTTTCTCGCATCATACCTACGATACAATCAAATTTTACAAAACTTTGTTTTTAAAAATCTAGTTCTGTTATACTTCTGTTTCGGAAATCACGTGGTTTCTTATTTCATGAGCACCTTCAGTTTTTAACAGCTGCTGACTAATAAAAATGGGTTTTGTAAGCTGCTCAAGTTATCGTTCATTTCCCTACATGCTTGTAGATATGATCCTTTATAAAAGCGAAATATTGTAATACGTTATTTTTATTCTCATACACACTAATGGTTTAATTTTCATGTGAAATATGGTTCACAATCTGGACTCATATTCTGTTCGTGTTATAGGAATGACATGATTGTGTAACCAGTCACCCATTAAGATAACAGTAACAACAATGGAAAGAAACGAAAGTTCCCTGGATATTAAAATGCCAAACCTGCATGGCAATATAAATCACAGCTCTGAAGTTATTTGTGCAGAAATATAAACTTTATAATCCAATGAAATTATCGTAATAAAACTATAAGAACTGTATCCAAATCTTGGTTTGTTACAATATATATGTCTTTAAGTTTATCACAAAGCACTTCTGAAAAGGTTTACCGTTTTTCTAGTTAGCCTAATATTTGTCCACTTTCCTTTTAGGCTCGGCATGGCCAGGTGGTTAGGGCGCTCGACTCGCAATCTATGGGTCGCGGGTTCGAATCCCCGTCTCACCAAACATGCTCGCCCTTTCAGCCGTGGGAGCGTTATAACGTTACGGTCAATCCCACTATTTGTTGGTAAAAGAGTAGCCCAAGAGTTGGCGGTGGGTGGTGATGCCTAGCTGCCTTCCCTCTAGTCTTACACTGCTAAATTAGGGACGGCTAGAGCGGATAGCTTTGCGCGAAATCCAAAACAAACAAACTTTCCTTTTTTAACACAAAATTTAACGACATAAACTATTGAAACTCATCTCATCTACGTGATCCAATCCATTGCACCTGACCCAGGTATATGTCGCGTGACGTCAGGTATTTAGATGAAGCCCTCACAAACTAACAATAATAATATAAAAGAAACTATACACAAAGGAAGGAGGGGGATAATAGCCCTAAACACTCCAGAAATACAGAGTACAATAACAAAATAAAAGGATAAGTAGTTTCGAGTGCGGAGGTAATGACGTGGTATAGAGGCTGGCTTTCTTTATCCCTAATAACGGAATAGTCGCAAAACAAGTGCATAAAGAGGTAAGATAAGTAGCCGATCTCCAATTTCCCGCCACTTGAAATTGTCCTGGGCGATTGCTACACTTATTAGTGTGCTTGCACAACCATGATAACGCTAAAAAATAACGAAAAACATAATACGCCCTTTTATTCTCACCACAGATTAGGAAAAACGCACATGAAGGTGTGTATTCAATACGCTCGTATTAACTTTGCACGGACAACTTTTACACTTCAGTTATCGTATGGCATACTAAATATTAGAGTTAAGGCCTTTAACGAAGTTTCCGTCAGACATTTTGCTTACACGTGTTTTTACACTTCTGCCAGCACATAGTAAAGTAGATAATACAAGCAAACTATCTGATGGAAACTTTCTTATAAAGGCGTTAACTCTACATAAACAACTGTCACACTCCAGCCAGCACATGTTAAATATAAGCAGAATGTCTGACGGAAACTTTATAAGGCCCTCGCAAAAATACAGATTGAAACGAACAACACGTTTTAATCCTATACTAGTGCACGGGTTTAAAAAGGTGTGCAGAAAATTGAAATATGCTCTTAATTTGTTATGTAAGTTCAGTCAATGCTAATATAAACCAAATTTGTGAAGTATATATATATGTGTGTGTGTGTGTGTACTAAGTTTCTTGAAACACATAATAATGCATTGACATGGTTACCAGCCTTGTTAGAAAGGCCTTATCCTATCCACTCTTTCGTGGTCTCACTCAGGGAACCCAGGATCGAATCCAGATTCTTGTCACCCTAGAAGACGGCGGTATATAAACAACCGAAACATAGGATATAAACTAATTAGTGATCACCATCTAGTAAAAAGGAAATAATTAGTAATTAGGTATGCAATCGTGTAGGCGCCATATCAGGACAACATGCGATATCTGATCGCTGCAACCTTATCGTAAACACATCAGAGAATGTTCGAAGTTCATCTATCTAAACTCAGTTCAAAAGACAAAAACCTTGTGCATTAACCAAGAATACCTAGAAAGTAACGCCATTACATTGAGTACTGTTTTAACTCTTAAATCATATAACTACACACACATGAAGATCGTAATGACTAATTTTTTTAATAACTAAGAATACCTAGAAAGTAACGCCATTACATTGATTATTGTTTTAACTCTGTAAATCATATAACTACACACACATGAAGATCGTAATGATTCATTTTTTTAGTACTTGAACAAGGAACTTAAAAATAAATTCTTTATTGGTATTTTACGACGTTATTTTAGGTGTCCTGTACTTATTTGTTTTCACACAGAAACTAACCATATTTGAAACCAAGAAGAATTAAAACTGTTGATTTGTCCTGGAAGTATAGAACATTCTTAAATTATAACTAATTGGAAATGAATGGTTTTCACAAGCACGTCCAAAATTCAACCCAAATGTTTACAAACGGTATGTTGACGAAATTTTTATCTTCCATTTAAAAGAACAGTCCAACTTTTCCTTGTACTCTTAACATATTAGTACATAAAGTGATCTAGAGAGAAACTTAAATCTAGAGATATACAAATTTCGAAAACTCTTTGGCGCTGTAACACCGTCAGTGGTCATTTCTTAACAGAACAATAAAGGGTTAACCCTAACTTGAAATACCAAAGTATAAATCAAAGTACAATTTCAAGAACCAAACTTAAAAGCATAAATACTGTTGTTGTTGTTTTTAATAACCAACGTGATATTGTAGAAATCCATCAGTATTTTTCTACCCTAACGTATTTGTTACGTATTTTGAGAATTCAATCCAAAAGGAAAGGAAAACAAGATTTACATTTTTCTTTATATTAATATCAACACTTCTTACCTTGGAGTTACTGGCTACCGAAGATTCACTGACGTCACTTTGACAAGCATCATCGTCCCATGACACGGAAGAAAGACTAGACATAAATGAACACGAGCTAGAAGTTGACAACCGTCGACTCAAAGGTATATGTCCAGCAATGTCATCCAGCGTGACCTGAAGATAATCCTGAGAAGGTTTCATGAACTCACCCATTTGAATATTTTGGTCAGTGAAATTACTGTGGTCACTTATTACGACCGAAGGCATTGCAAGCACTGGGCAAGAAACAGACTGAATAATAGTCAGCGATCGTTTTCTGTGTATTGTCTCCTGATTCTGTTCCTCGTCCTCCGATGTAATCTGGGTTTCAAAAGATGGAGTCAAACACGTAACATCTACGTTGCCCTGTACGATGGCTGAGTCAGCACTACAAGACCTGTGAGTGCGGGATGTCATACCTGGGGAAAAGCTCTTGGAGGAAGAATACAGTTGCATACAATGTCTTAACTGTTCCGAAGCCCCGTTTTCATCAAGTGCATAAGTGATGTTTCTAAGAGCATCGGGAGACATCTCACTGTCCAAACTGGCATGTCCACTGTCAACGCTACACCTCTGGTGGTAATGTTCAGCTATTTCAAAAGATCTGCTAAACATCGTGGTCACATCTTCAAGATCCGAGCCTCTTTTCATTTCAATAACATGTTTCGGTGTTTCGCAAGCTTGTGGTAAAAAGCAACCACGATCTTCCCAGTCTTGATCATTTGGTGTTTTCACTGACTGCTTCTGGGGTTTTGATTCCCCAGGTAAGCATTCGGTGGATGAGGAACGTCCCCACGATGAAAAACGACGAGACAACGAGTGGTGGCTTAACTTTTGAATTTGCAATCTCGACTCTGTGTTTTCTTCCATTGATGAAGGTCTACCTAATAAATAATACATGATCATGTTTATTTCGTATTAACTCTTAGTTTTATGTTTTAGTGCAAAGCTACACAATAGGCATTTGGCGCTTTGTCCACCGTGGAGAATCGAAACCCGGATTTTAACGTTGCAAGTCCATACATTTACCACTGACCCACTAGGAGACTTCATATTAACATATTTATAGGCGGATTAATTTGCTGAAGTTTTACTGTGATAAGCTCATAGCAGTAGAGGCCATTCCACCATGTTTGTTTAACATCACAATCTGATCAGAACATCAATATTCACATGTGAACGTTCACACTATTGTTTCACACATTTAAGTTAAAACATAATCTAATCAAAACTTTCTTCATTATATATATCATTGGAAATATTCATTAAATAATTATTTATTATTAGCTTAAACAAATGTTTGAATTTCTATTCTCCTTACACACGAAATGTATGATTTTAAGACGAAATTAAAAATAAACTTTCAGCCAGTCATTAACAACTGTAAGATTCAAGATAAAAATTTGGGGGGATAATCTTATCACACGATACTTTCGAAGAGTAAATGTAAACACACACACAAATGTCTGCAAAGTGTAAAGCTTTTAATAGTCACACCTTTCTCATTCACTGCTCATATCAAGTGAAGTTGATAAATTAAAGTTTCCTATACCATATTACAGTTTAGCCTGAAACAGTTTTTACATTTTTGTAACAGAAAAACCTCAATTATTTCTCTCTCTCTTTAAGCTCTAAGATTGTTAGTACGAAAATGGAAGTATTGTATCACGAATGGTGCTGTATACGCATAACTATACATGTATAGTCTACTTTCTACCCTTTTTAACTTAAAGCGCTGTAATCTTCTTTAACATCTAAGCAAAATTCAAAATGGTATAGTATTCAGGCTCGTGTGACCCTAGTTGTTTTGAAGTACAAATCCAGGCCCAATTCTAAACAAATTAATAAACCTAGTAGCAAAAATTAACATTTTTTAAACATTTACTCATTAACGAAAAAGATGATTTTTTTTTGTTTTTTTTTTTGGTATAAGTGATGAACTTGTGGTACGATTTTTGTCAAATCGAAGGGAAAACAACACTAGCGAGGGCTGGTCTAAATGTGTGTGTAATCTATGTATGAGGGAAGCTCAAGGTGAGCATATTACTAATTTCATAATTTTTATGGTGCCACTGACATTAGTTCCACATACCACAGTTTGAGAATCACTGGTGTATACTATTATACAGCATCAAACACCGTATTAACATATTTTATCAGTCACATTGTTCTATGTACAATTTCAACATTTTATAACGATTGTGTTTTGTCACGGTCATATAATTTTTCAACAGTTTCTAAAGGACTGTAAAAACCAAAATAACCTAGAAAGTCGTAAAAGAAATCTTTCCGTACGTGTGTATCACTACGCTGTATTTTTAAACACAAATAAAAGGAAAGAACTTTTATAACATTTAAATTCCATACATTTCTTACGCTACAATTAATTATCCATGAATTAAGCAATCAGCGAGCAGCACGCAGTTTCTGATGGCTATATATATTTTTTTCATGAGCTGTTTTAACATAGATCTATGAAACCAAAATTAATGCCACAGTAATGAATAGCTACATTTGCTAAAGCTATTTGCTGCCGTTCTTAATTTTGAACTACTTGGCTAGAGAGAAGGTAGCCAGTCAGCAGCACCCTACCACCTTAGGGATTGTTTAACAGTCTTATAATGCGCCTACAGTTTAAAACTAGGGAAATATTTTGTGGCATAGCATAGATTCGAACCCGACTCGATAGCTTCAAAATCAGATCTTTACTAAAGAGTCAAACCGCACCCACCCCACATTTTATAACGACGAGCCACGATGAAGGAGTTTCATAAAGAATGGTAAAAAAGGTGCTTTGGGATAGTTAACTATTATTCTTCAGGAGATGTTTATTTATTTATTTATTGAATCTCACGCAAAACTACTCGAAGACAACCAGCACTAGCTATCCCTCATTTTAAAGTGATAAACCAGAAGAAAGGCAGCTAGTCAACATCTTCCGCTAGCTCTTGGGTTAATCTTTACTAACGAACAGTGCAGTTGACCGTAACATTATAATACCACCATGACTGAGAAGGCGAGAATGTTGAGCGAAATGTTTCGATCCCGCGACACGCAGACTGTGAGTCAAGCGCCATAATCATCACGTCCAGGCAAAGGATAGTCCACTTTTCGGCATCACTCGAGTTTCTGAGTGTTTTGAAATCTACTTACGTAGTGCGTAAGGAAACAATACATTTTACATGATGTGACTTCAATGTTGTCAAAGCAACCGAATCATTACCACTTACCATATTATTAGGGTAACATCACACAACATACATGTTATTTTCAACTAAATTATCATATTTTATAAACATGCTCACGGATTCTTCTACATCACCGTGCCTATAACAACAGCAACTTACGCTGATTCAACTCTTAGTATACAAACTGTAAGGTGGTGCCTGCATGTAACTATGTTTTCACCCTGTAAAAACTATACAGTATATTATATTGACACGAGCTTTAAAGTGGATACTTCTCGTTATATTATAGCTTGTATTACAAAAGTAATTATAAAAAGTGAGCTATAAAAATGTTGCATGTGATACTCCCACGTTACTATATCATTATGGGCGTAACTTCCGGAGTTGTTTCAAACTACACACTCGTAAAAGTAAACAACAGGATATACGATTTACGTAGCCGCAGATCCACGAGCCTCTAACTTCTAAGATTATATCGTAACCATCTGCCGGTCGCTGAGGTCGTTTCGATACCCATGAACATTAAATGGTTCAATTGCTCACGTCTTACACCTTCCATAACCTAATGGTATGGTGTAATATTTGTTAAAATTCATTACAGGCTTTGAATCATCAACAACTACGACTGTACTAACTAATTGAATACTCAATATAACTAAAAGTATCAAAGTCCAAATATATAGGGTTCTCTATTACTTACAATCTGAGGCTTAACAATGCACAGGGTACTTTCTATTCTTTACCGTCTGAGGCCTGACAATGTATAGGTTTCTCTCTATTCGTTACAATCTAACGCCTGATAATGCCTAAGATGAATCCTTATAGGGTTACGAAAGAAACACTTATTATTATAGTATTCCTGACCAGACAACGACTTGACTAATTGTTTTCTACTCGTGTGTCCATCAAATGGATTTAAAGTGATGGGAAGACAGATTTTTTCCGATTCACCATCCGAGGTAGTGGAAGAGGGAAAACAACTTTTTCTATAAAAACTATGTTCAACACGTGCCAAACAACGTGTTGTGGTCCTATGATATCAGTCAAATAGCTAAATGTCGATAAAACAAATAAATTTAATAACTTAAGCTGACTTTCGATCAATAACTTATTGGAGAGACATCTAGATTAAATTCAAAAAATTATCTATAATTATAACCAACGTACATAAAAAATACTAGCAAAAAGAATGGTAAGGAAAAAAATCCGACATAGCTAAACAACAAAATTTTCTAGAAAAAAAGAACTGGTTAAATGTATATTTCATTTCATTTTTTCTTTCATTTTCTGAATGTTTAGAAATAAATATTAGAAATAACAAAAATAATGACTTACGTTTGAGGATTAGTGTAAAGAGGCGTTTCTTTATGCATATGTCATACCACATATAGTACACATATCTGCAAGTAATTAAATGCTTAAAAAATTCTCATTGTACGATAAAGCTGTTTGTGTTCTACTGCGTTATTTTTCTCTGTTTTCAATTCACATACACAGAAATATCGATGTACTCACAACCGCTAGATTATTGCACATAAAACTTTACTAGTTAGGGCCCTACAGCGGCACTCTTCAGGCAAATAACGTAATAATATTAGGGGTGGGGTCAAGTCATGGTGGGTTGACTGGTCACCTACTTACCGCCTGTGCCTTCACCTGAATGTATTTCGTAAATTTTCCTTACTGTAACAGTTGTGCTATATATTAAAAACTGACCTTATTTTATCACGTAAGGTAGAAAACATTAACAGTATAAAGTAATGATAGCTCCTCAAACGCTGTTAAAATGGTGCTGGTAACATTAATACAAACCGAAGATAGAATCAGTAGTTTTGAGAGGAGAAGCGAATTTCTCTAGCTGGGGAATGATAGTTATGCTACCTAAAATATGAAATTACAAGACAACTATAATGACTAATGTTTATATGAGAAATTATCGGGAAGTTTTAGTGCTCCTGCAATATGTGGGGATGGTTCACATCGCTGAAATGTTAGGGGGATGTACTCGTTTATATTACATCTGTCAATAGGTATTAAGATAATTTTTTTATAGCTTAATGCTTCCATAGCAAGTTTAATTTTAAAAGTGAGGCGTTAATGCAAGTCATTTGATCCAAGTTATTACCAGGACAAAAAACAGCAGTATAAAAAATGTTTTTTTTATTAAAACCTTTAAAATGTAGAAACTTAAAAAAATTGCAAACACAAGTACACATCTTTTTAGAGATTCTTCTTTTATTGTAATTAATCTACAATAGTAAAATTTAAAAGTTCTATAACCTTAAAAAGGATATGTTCAAATGTACAGTCTTCTTTATAAGATTCTCTAACTCGCAGTGGAAGTGGTGGACTGGTGGTTGCAACTCTTTTTACCAAGTACATGTGATCATTTAATTTTTGTCACAACCCAGTTTGAAGTGTCAAGTGGTATACAAGAAACCACAAACAGCTGAATAAATGTTTATTAATAAATTATAAGTTTGGCACCCAAATTACAAAACTACAAACTACATATGGATGGCATTTCTCATTTTGCCTACTTTTTATAAAAAAAACAGCTGAGGCAACTGAAAAGTTATAGTTCATAACTCAAATTTTCCAGTATCTCAAGACAAACTGATTTCTGTGGTGTTACTTAACTGTATTCTTTGCATGTAGAATAAAGCAGCAATATGAAGAGATGAAAGCATAACTGTTACTAGAAATGTATTATTAAAACAAATAATAATATTGTATATTTGTAACCTAAATTTTAAGCACGTGAAATAACAAAAAAAAACGTTAGGCCCCTACAAGATACAATTTTGCTAATTCACACAAATAATGAAAGATTAATTTAAATGTAGATTTAACTTTTATAGAAACTATGAGTATCAAAATAATTTAAGCTAAAGCTTACTTTAAATAAGACATTCATAGCCAAGACTGAAGTTTGTCTCTATATTCTAAAAAAAAAAAGGATCCTGCAATGGCTTTTAATATGTTCACTAAAACAACCACAACTAACATTTCATCTTCGGTATTTCTTTAATAGGTAAATCTTTTTTTTTTTCATTTATGTATGAGCATGTTTTGATAGAAATGACAAAAAGATAATACTTATCTTGAAGTTTTAATCTTCAGTAAAATATATTAAAAAATACCATTAAGGTGGTAGGAACTTTTAAACAGCTATAATGTTTTTTTTCTTAAAACCAGTATAGAATTTAACATAAGCATAATAAATTGTTTCATATATACCATACAGGCACACACATGTACACAAAAGATGCTTTAGATAGTTTAATCCAAACACAAAGAATATGATAATAGAAACACATTTAAAGTGTAAACCAAAAAGGAAGCCTACTCTGAAAATTTGACATATTATCGCATTTAATGACAGAATCTCAATATCATTAATTGTAGGAAAAAAACTGTCAAACCTTCTTGTACTGATAAATATCCTGCATGCAATATTATATTTACAGGAAGTTTCAAAAATAGTTATAAAAATAGGTAAATAGATAAAAACAGAATATGCACTCAAAAAAGAAGAGCAAGACATTCATATTCACACTCCAGTTATGTCCTGCTAGATAGTTACATGTTGTATCATTCCTGAATGCTTTATACTTTCATAGTACGTGCACACACTGGATCTAGGTCATTGTTTTATATTGCTGCTGTGTTTTTAGAGGTGTAGATGTGGAAGTCTTTTTCACTGATAAGCACTGCAATATAACTTATAACAGTCTCTTATTTTGTTTAAGTATTCAAGGTGAGATTCATACAATCACTGAAATGATAATTACATAGTCTGATATAAGAATCTTCATCAAGATTTGGTTGTCATCCAATGTCACAAATAAGTGTATAAAAACTATAATACAGAACTAAAATATATATTAATCATTTAAATAGTAAGATATACACATTCTGATATTAAATCATGCTGAACACAATGTTCTCACATTGTAGAATTAATGAAATTTTGTTCAGTCTCAATACCCATAATTCTAAAGGTTACTTTTGGTCCATAGCACATTTGTTATAAAATTTTAGTGTTCATAGACTTATACCCAAAATTATTCATAACACCAGAGAAAAATTAAAATGTCAAAATGTTTTGATAAAGCTATAGTGCAGTTGATGCAATTATCTAGTTAAGTTTCTTTGTTTTTAAATTGTAAATGTGCTAATCTTACAGAAAATTAAAACATATATATATAAATCATGAATATCAGTAGAAATATTTTCTTAAGATTTCCTTCAAACCTTCCATTTTTGAAATTTACAGCTTTAACCTAAAATTTTATCAATTTCAATCAGAAGAGGCAAAATATCTCTAAAGCTGAGATCACTTAACAGTTTTCACTGAATTTATTTTGCCTGTACATTCCTAAGATTACTTGTTTCATACTTCAAGTACTTTTGTTTTGTTTCTTACAGATTAAGAAACGTTTTAAGGTTAATGAACATCCATGTTAAAATTTTATATATAGCTTTATTGATTAAATAATTACAAATATACAATTTTCAGAAAACAAGTCAAAGTATATGAACAATATTATATTGGTAATGTAAAAAGCTATGGTGGAGATTTATTTACTTCTGAACACCATGTTATCAGAAATCAAACTTTAAAGGTAAGGATTTATGTAGATCATAACTATTTATACAGCATATTTGATCATTTTCATAAAACAGTTCAGTTACAATTTTTTAAAACCTCAGATTTATTTCAAACTTAATTTTCACTATGTTATTAATGCTAAAAAATAAAATATTGTTATGAATGTTTTCATTAACAAAATCAACAAAGGTTGGAAATGTGTATTATTAAACTAGACCTGCTGGCTGCTCTGTTATTACTATTAGTATCAGAACATTATACCCAATTAAGTCTTTTATCAATAACCTATTTCTAAACGTAACATAGCAAAACTAACACATATAAAACACGTAATGATACGTTAAGAAACTTTTCTGTGCAGTTTACATTGTATAAATGTCGCAAACTGCGTTACAAACGTGTGGGATACAATGTCATTAAGTTAACATGATATTGATACTTACTCATAGTCATATAGACTACTGCTTGTCGTAGCCTACTGGCCCATTGCTTAAGCTAATATTCCGAAGAGGTTTAGGTCATCATTTCATTAAATCTCATTTTAAAGGATTTAGCGAGAAAACAAAAACATGCCGTTCGTAATTATGATATAGAAAAATACCTTAACTGTGTTTGTAATATGATACAAAACTTTAGAAAAAAAGTATCTTCCTAACAATTCATTCGTTCACCGCATCATCCATCTATATATTATATGTATAAACCCCATGCATGTCACTGACACAGATGATATTGTCATCAACACTACTACTTTATTTATGTACATGTACTACAGATGATGGTTCTGCCATCTGTCGTCAACTGGATAAACAATTGTTTGCCAATTGTAACCTCCGTGCAAGTAATGTAATATACCTTTTTTTACTTAATAACTGAATAAATTATCACTGAGAGTATTGTTTTAAATTTGTAAATTCATCTACGTAGAATCTGCAAACAAAAATGTCTTCAAAACTATAGTTTTAAACGCGTTTCCATTTTAATTCCATAGCAAAATTATATTTTTACAGTAATCTTTTAAAGGAACAGCGCAGATTATTTTCTGGTTGAATAAGCTTTAAATTTCAGATAATTGTCACTTTTCAAGTCTTCCGTTGGCTCAGCAGTAAGTTTGAAAGCTAATAACTTCATTTATATGATTATAAAATTCTATTTCTGTAGTGGTCATAGCACAGATAGCCTATTGTGTACCTTTGGATATTTTAAATTACATAGTCAATTCATTTATATTTTCTTTGAGGTATCGATACATATTCTAGGTCATTAATCAGAAATATCTGATATATTTTAATGCAAATCGCATAAACAGTTTTTTACTCCACGTTCCTCTTAATTTATCCATTCTGGATTCAAACTCAAAGGTGTGTAAAAATAGCAAATCAGTGCCTTCCAATTTTCTAATGTTAAGTAAACCCATGCTTATTAGTTATAATAAATGCAACAAAATAATGAAGTCACGAAAAAATACTTCTGCGCGTATGCAAATACTCCACCCTTCACGCTTTAAATTCCCGTATGAAAGGGAAAAAAACACAAAAAAAACAGATGTACGGAGGGGAGATGTTTATTACATGATGATAAAATGCTATTTTTATACGCCTTTGATTTTCAAACTGAAATGGGCAAAGTAAGAGGAACATGGAAAAAAAACATTTGCAGTTTGTTGATTTGTTCGTTATTAACAATAAGAGCTCGTGACATAATTAAGGTAGTAATTATGGGTATATTTATTAAGTATGATACCTATCTTCAAGCTCCTAGGTGCCTTAGTGATAAGTCTTACGGTTTATAACGCTAAAATCCGAGTTTCGATACACGCGGTGAGAAGTGCACCAAGAGAGCTCATTGTAGTCTTATGTTTAATAACAAGCAAATAAACCCAATATTTATAATTGAATTATTGTTTGTACCCACGCAATAGTCTCTGTTATTCCAAATATACTCCTTTACTACTTCTATTTAAAACCTTGATAATTTCAGTATGATTATAGTTATTATCAATTATCAGTTACATAAAATGGAAAATTAGATAATGTAATAGCTTCGATTCTTAAAACCAATGGCCACCAAAGTTGTTTCTTTGGAACCTAGATGGCAGTGTTTTGTTGGTTCGTTGTTGTTTGTCAGAAAACTTATACCAACAATTTTGCAACGTAGTTAATAAGTAATTATTATTAAAAGAAAAATCCTAAAAGTTTTAATTAGAAAAGGTTGTAGAGTGAAAATAGATATTAATATTTTAACACCTACTTATAATGAAAATAGATATTAATATTTTAACACCTACTTATAATGAAAGTAGATACCAATATTTTAACACCTACTTATAATGAAAGTAGATATTAATATTTTAACACCTACTTATAATGAAAGTAGATACCAATATTTTACTACTTTAAAACTTGTTGAATATGAATATTTGTAATTAAGCACGAAACTATACAATGGGCTATCTGTGCTCTACCCACCACGGGTATCGAAACCCGGATTCTAGCGTTGTAAGTCCTCAGACATACCGTTGTACTAATGGGGGCAAAACTTAATAATAAAAATCAAATAAAGACAAAAAATACTCTAACATAGATATACAGTATACACTTTTAGAAGAACTTTTAACAAATACTAGTCAGTAATCACACCATGAAGGCATTACATGGCACAAATGAAAAATAATAAACAATCACATGACACTCTTAAACAAACAAATAAATAAAAATAAACTAAACGAAATAAACGCTTTTACGACATTAGAAGGATATTCTTTACAGCAGCGGTCCTCAATAGTAATTCGAGGACCGCTTTTAATTCAAAATTTTTTCAACTATCGATGTTTTTTGTTTAAAAAAAGACAAGTTTCCATATACATGAAAAACTATATTCCAGTATTAAATGTTTTAATTCATAGAAATTTAATTATACGATAAATGTTTTTATTCTATAAATCATATTTTTGTGAAATTTCGGAAATGGATCGCTACTTTATATTAAAGTGACAACAAATCAAAGAAAACTTTGTGACACAATGAAAAACACGAAATATACTCTTTACATTTATATGCATAAAAAATCAAATCATGTCGAAACCAAAGGAATACAATATTATTTTTTAAATATAAGTTTCTTTATTTGCTGTTTGTTTTAAACGCAAATCTGTACTTTTTTCGAAGAAAAGTTCGTTTGTTTTAGCGTAAAGCCACATTGGGATACTTGTCGTGTCCAACGCGGGAAATCGAACCCTGGATTTTGGCATTGTGAGTCCGTAAACTTATCGCTGACCCACCGTAGGGATTCAAACAAATAGTGCAAAAGTAAATATTTTATACAACATATTAAAACACAAAGTATTTGTTTGTTTGTAATTAAGCACAAAGCTACACAATGGACTATCTAAGCTCTGCCCACCACGGGTATCGAAACTCGGTTTCTAGCGTTGTAAGTCTGCAGACAAATCAAACTCTTTAGACACAATTAAACCAAAATAAAACACTCCCTGTGCAAAGAATAAAATAAAATAGATAAAAATAAAATCAATGTTTTGCATCGAACAAAGATAAATAACGTAAAATACAAGAACGATACCCTTAACAACGATCGAAGTACAAACAAATTCTTTAAAATAGATAAGCACAAATAGATTATTTGAGCTTAAATAAAAAGTGACAAACACAGAAAATGGGTACAATATTGACACAACATGTGCTACAACATGCCTAGAACTCAAGGTTCTCTCGAATTGTCAGATTTTGTTGGTCAAGCAGATGGCGGAATAAGTCAGCGGCAAATTTCGCAGAATTTGGGAATCCCGCTTTCGACAGTCAACAGAATCATCGTGCAGTTCAGGAAACATGGCAAGGAAACAACTGAGCAGCGTCCGGGTCGGCCTGGTCCATCGGAGAGGACAAAAAGGCTGTCAAGAGGAGCATCGAAATGGATCCCAGATTAACGACTGCAGAAGTAGCCAAAGTTGGTGGGATGAGCTCGAAATCGGTTCATCGGATTCTCCACAGATTGGGTTATCGTTACAGAGCAGCTAGACGGAAGCCCTTATTTAG